TGGCACAGACCCAGTGATTGACGATGCCTACAGACTCGGTATGTGGAACAACGATATCAACAGACCGCCGCGAACGCTTCTAGTAATTCTCAGGTCGCAAATTGATAAACGGGTCATCTTATCTTCTCTAGTGAAACTGAAAACTTCTGAGTTGTATAAAATGTGTGTGTTTCTCGTGATCTGTCGACTGTCGAGTACAGACGTGAATGCGAACTGTTGAAACTCAGAAAAGATTTCATCAGCTCTGGTGTTCCAAGAAACGCCCTCCGATTGAAAGACAATGAGATTCTGAGAAAAAATGACCAAGGACATTGGGTAACAGTTACCGATGCTGATATCGAAAATTGACTACCGCGAAAATCGCTTCAAGTCTGGTCAGTGATAAACTGTCTTTTATATAATGTGAGAAGCCTCCTGAATCTACAAAAGCGCGTGACGTTCGCCAACTTCGTTGCAACGAGCAATATTATTTTAATTTGTCTAACAGAAACTTGGCTTACCGAGCAAGTCGATGACGCTGAACTTTTCCTGCCCAACTATGAGTTGTTTTGGTCAGAGCGCGCTAGTGCAGGTCATATCTCTCGACATTGTGGTTTTCTGATCGGAGTGAGGCGGGACCCTCTCGCAGAAACTCTGAGTGTTACTGATGACGATTTCCTGGTTTCATGTACCGCCGTAGTAAATGGCTGCAAGCTGATTGATTGCTGCTATAATCCCCCGGCTAACAGTGATTACAGAGTCTCTCTAGAGCAATGGACCAGTGTATTCAGTCGAATCAGATCTCTGAAAGAATCGTGCAGCTTTGATGAACTGTTGTTTTATGGAGATTTTAATGTACCATTGATCAATTGGTCTACATGCTTATCAGATGACTTCTACTCAGAACAGTTCGTGCTGATGACAGAAGGTATTGACTTGGTGCAACAAGTCAGAAGATCAACACGCAAGAGAAACACGCTCTATCTCTTCTTCACTCAAGAGAAGTTCCCGGTCGCTATCACATAACCCACTGATGTCTGTCTGTCTGACCACCTGCCTGTCATTGCAACTGTGGACTTGATTTCTCTTCCGCAGTACAAAAGTATCAAAGATCTTGATGTAAAAACTTCCATGTACAGTTTTTGCTCTGTCAACTACGAACTTTTGAATCAGTTGATGTATGATTCGCCTTTTTCTCCCTACTGCTGGTCGGATGTGAACATGTTGGTGAAGCAATGGTACGAGTGGATAGACACTCTCCTGGCGAAGTGTGTTCCAAGGCGAATAACTCATAAATCCAGTCTTGCTCCTAGAATAACTCATAAATCTGCTAAAGTGACTGGAGACTGCTTATCAGTAAAAGGGCTTGCACGACATTAAGACTGAAAAAAGAATGCGACGCTACAATAATCGAAGATCGAGTCAACTATGACGAAGCTCTCGCAGACAGCAGAGCCCCTGACCAACTTTTCAAATATTATAAATATTTACGAAGTAATAGTATTCTTTCCAGTATCAAGTACTTGACTGACACTGCAACAGATTCTGCGGAACAAGCTGAGCTTTTCAATGCCTTTTGTGCCACAGTTTTCAACCAACCCAGTGGTTCTATTCAAACGTTTCCCGACAAAATTGACGTCATCATCAATGATTTTGCTATTGACGAAGATTTCTTGTTCAAAGTTCTTGTTGATCTTGATGTGACAAAAGCAACCGGACCTGATAATATTCCTGCAAGAGTATTCAAGCATACCTCTAATGCTGTCGCGAAGTCCCTGAAAACTCTCTTTTATGAAATCAAGCAAGCTGGCAGATATCCTGACGCCTGGAAAGAAGCTGTAGTCGCCCCAGTGCACAAGAAAGGTTCAAAAAAATAGAAGTGAAAAACTACAGACGAATCTCGCTTCTACCAATCGCATCAAAAGTTCTTGAGAGATGTATTTTTGTTGCACTTTATGATCACGTTTGGCATCATCTGCATCCATCGCAGTATGGATTCAGGAAAAGAAGATCTTGTATCACCCAGCTCCTGGAGTTTATCGAAGCTGTTAATTTAAACCTGAATCGTCGCCACAACGTTGACGTGATCTATACAGATTTTGAGAAAGCGTTCGATAATGTTGATCATCAGATTCTTATTGCTTAACTGTACAGTTTTGGAGTACGAGGCAAACTGCTCAAGCTTCTCAAGAGCTACCTATCCAACAGAACGCAAAAAGTTCGAGTACGGGGGAGGTTTTCCGGTTCCATACCTGTGGCCAGTGGCGTGCCGCAAGGCTCCTTGTTACGACCCTTCTTGTTTTTAATTTTTATCAACAATTTGCCTGATTCTTTACAGTGCTTTGAGCCATACATTTCTGCTGATGATGCTAATTTTCTTTGTGTAATTACAAATAAGGCGCTGATAGAAACAGATCTTTCCTACATTTGCAATTGTTCGCAACTAAACATGATAAATTTTAATGTTGATAAATGTGTGGCGATGAAGTTCTCGAGCTCGTCGAGTCTGAAAGACTGCCAATTTGTAGGTGCCCCAATCGTTTTTGCAAAAGATCACAACGACTTGGGTCTCTATATCGCTGACATTTTGAACTGGGATGCTCATGTTGAAGCAAAGTGCAGTAAAGCAAATAAAGTGTTTTTCATGATGAAGAGAAGTTCTCCTCACATTTCCGTGAAAAGCAAACTCAATCTATACAAAACAATGGTGCTGCCCATTATGATGTATGCAAGTTGTTGCTGCCACGCCTCTGTCCGGTCAATGAGAAATCTCGAAGCAGTTCAGAAGCGTGTAACGAGGTGGATTCTCCCACATTGTGAAAATTACAAGGAGCGTCTGTTATTTCTCAACCTTCTCCCTGTTTCGCTTTATTTGCAACTCAGGGATTTGCTCATGCTGTCAAAGCTTATTGCTGGTTGCTTTGATTTTGATTCATCTGCACGTATGTCTTACAGAATGAACTTCAGACAAAATAAACTTGAATTCATTGTTGAGCGTTCTCGTCTATCAAAAGTTGATACCAATTTCTGGTGTCGTGAACCGCGACTGGTGAACAAACTTCCTACAGCGATAGATTTCTTCAATCCCATTGGTCTTAAAGGAAGACTTAATAGTTTTCTCTGGTGCTTCTTCAGTGAAAAATACAATCAGAAAGTTTCGTGCTCCTGGAAGCTACCTTGTGACTGTACTATGAACGGTTGCCGTTTTTCTGTAAATTTGTATTTGGGGTAAACCCCTTTGTAACTTTCGTTACATAAATTCCTTCTAACAATAATAATAATCATAATATTAAGGTATGATATAACCTCAAAAACGTAAAAGTTTTTTCAATTGAATGAATAGCTTGCCTCAAAAATAACTTATTCAACGTTTCGTTGCTGCATTAGCTTGCTCAGAACAGCTACTTTTTTGCGAGCCGAATAATTAATGGAGACCACCTTGCTAGTAAAAATCAAATTAAAATTACAAAAGTTTCAACTAAGTTGAAATCGAATTGATTTTTGGATTTGTAATTTGAATATAAATCTGCTAAGAAACCCAAATTAATCACAGCCGATGCCCCGACAATTGCCCAGCAGAAAAAGAAGGCGCCGGCGGTGGCTTCCGCTTTGGACAGCGCTGCAGCAGGAGGATGAGGGGAGAGTTGGAAGCAGAAGTACGAAAATAAGAAGAAGGAATACGAAAAGCTTCAGAAGAGCTACGAGAAGGTGAATCAGGAGAATGCGGCCATGAAGAGCAAGATAGAGAAGGTGGTATCTAAGGAGATCAAGGCTGTGGAAGTGGACACTGCTGATTTGTATTCGAATGGTCAGCAGGCCTTCATAGTAAGTCATTAATACCGTTGTGATAAGTCCGAGTTGTGAGCATCGGTATGAAAACCGTTTTATTGGCAATGAGTGATGGGAATGATGGGGTGGGTTGTGGAAGTGTTTTTGGTAGACAGTGAGATCTCTAGTCGATAGTGGTATTCTAGAGTGATGCTTGATTTTAATCTGATGCTGAAAGATAGCACTGAATATCAATGTGCTTTATCTGTTGCACAGGAAACAAGAGCACAACGACTTGGGTCTCTATATCGCTGACAATTTGAACTGGGATGCTCATGTTGAAGAAAAGTGCAGTAAAGCAAATAAAGTGTTCTTCATGATGAAGAGAAATTCCCCTCACATTTCCGTGAAAAGCAAACTCAATCTATACAAAACAATGGTGCTGCCCATTATGATGTATTCGAGTTGTTGTGCCACGCCTCGGTCCGGTCAATGAGAAATCTCGAAGCAGTTCAGAAACGTGTAACGAGGTGGATTCTCCCACATTGTGAAAATTACAAGGAGCGTCTGTTATTTCTCAACCTTCTCCCTGTTTCGCTTTATTTGCAACTCAGGGATTTGCTCATGCTGTCAAAGCTTATTGCTGGTTGCTTTGATTTTGATTCTTCTGCACGTCTGGCTTACAGAATGAACTTCAGACAAAATAAACTTGAATTCAATGTTGAGCGTTCTCGTCTATCAAAAGGTGATACCAATTTCTGGTGTCGTGAACCGCGACTGGTGAACAAACTTCCTGCAGCGATAGATTTCTTCAATCCCATTGGTCTTAATGGAAGACTTATTAGTTTTCTCTGGTGCTTCTTTAGTGAAAAATACAATGAGAAAGTTTCGTGCTCCTGGAAGCTACCTTGTGACTGTACTAAGAACGGTTGCCGTTTTTCTGTAAATTTGTATATGGGGGAAACCCCTTTGTAACTTTCGTTACATAAATTCCTCTTAATAAAAATAATAATCATAATGTTAAGGTATGATATAACCTCAAAAACGTAAAAGTTTTTTCAATTGAATGAATAGCTTGCCTCAAAAATAACTTATTCAATGTTTCGTTGCTGCATTAGCTTGCTCAGAACAGCTACCTTTTTGCGAGCCGAATATTTAATGGAGACCACCTTGCTAGTAAAAATCAAATAAAAATTACAAAAGTTTCAACTAAGTTGGAATCGAATTGATTTTTTTATTTGTAATTTGAATAGAAATCTGCTAAGAAACCCAAATTAATCACAACCGATGCCCCGATAATTGCCCAGCAGAAAAAGAAGGCGGCGGCGGTGGCTTCCGCTTTGGACAGCGCTGCAGCAGGAGGAGGAGGAGGGGAGAGTTGGAAGCAGAAGTACGAAAAGAAGAAGAAGGAATACGAAAAGCTTCAGAAGAGCTACCAGAAGGTGAATCAGGAGAATGCGGCCATGAAGAGCAAGATAGAGAAGGTGGTATCTAAGGAGATCAAGGCTGTGGAAGTGGACACTGCTGATTTATATTCGAATGGTCAGCAGGCCTTCATAGTAAGTCATTGATACCGTTGTGATAAGTCCGAGTTGTGAACATCGGTATGAAAACAGTTTTATTGGCAATGAGTGATGGGAATGATGGGGTGGGTTGTGGAAGTGTTTTTGGTAGACAGTGAGATCTCTAGTCGATAGTGGTATTCTAGAGTGATGCTTGATTTTAATTTGATACTGAAAGATAGCGCTGAATATCAATGTGCTTTATCTGTTGCACAGGAAACGCAACGCCAGTCATGCGAGGTGTTGTGGGAGGCAGTGAAGAATGGGCAGTACAATGTGGTGCAGGAGGCAGTGTTCAACATGGCATTGAAGGAGACCACTTCTTTCCTATGGGACTCACAGAGGAACGGCAAAACCATGCTGGGGCTAGCAGTAGAGTGAGTCGTCTGCAATATCATTACATCCATTATTTTTGCGTGTATAATCTGGGCATATCTAGGTGTAATTTAAGACATTTGAAAACAAAATCTGCATCAGGTCTTTTAATAACAATCACCTTCACCAATTATCTGTTTAATTGAATTTAATAGAAAGAAAATGAAAAACGAAATTTACTTGACTGATAGAAAGTCGTTATTGTAATTCAATTGCCTAATACTAGCTTCAATTTTCTTATTTGGTTAGCTGAAAGCTATTAGTCTAGATTAAATATTTGATTATACCCATAACTGATAGAAAACATGACGAAGACATGGTTCGACTTCTGCTGAGCGCACCTGGACTGGACGCAAATGCGAGAACAGGGGAAGACCAGTCGACCGCACTCATCCAGGCATGTGACATGGGTCTAGTAAACATCGCATCTCTCCTGTTGGAAGGCGGAGCACACGTCAACAGAATATCTGTAGTCAATGGGGAAAGCGCTTTGATGAAGGTACTTGTGTGAAATGCTGAACGAGAAGAACAAGCTCGGTATTAGTTAATTTCAATCAGAATAAGGTTATTAAATTCAATTAAAAGTTCCAGTGGACATTATTAATGACATTTACTGCAATTAATTTTTACAGTCAATATTTTTTGTCCTCCCGGACCAACGCTAGGCACAAGGCCCTTTAATGTTGACCCTAGATAAACAAGTGTTTAATCAAGTAAGCTCAAAATAATCATTTTACAACAAAAAAGGTGGCAATCTTTAAAATGTTTTATTCACTTATTTTTTTACATCAAATCTTTTATGATTCAAGTTTTAATACTCTCGAACTAGCACGTGATGTTTGAATGATGGGTTAAGGAATATTTTACAATAAATATCTGTATATACTATTTTGTAATGTTTTCTACAATTCCACAAAATGTTAAGTATAATATTGCGCAAAAATGAAAAAAAGTTATTTTTCATACTGCCGATAATTTTAAGGGAAAGTCATTCCTGCCACTTGAACATCAGATCCTCAAACGTGTTCATGCTTCTACTTACTGCAGTATGCTCCAATAAGCTCCAGGGCAGCTTAAATAGGGACAGGCAACAAAACAACTGATACCGAAGTTAATCGTGTAGCAGCATGAACGGATGTGAGACCAAGTGTTTAGTGTATAAGAGGTAGATTTTGTTAAATGATGCTACACATCAATGCAGAAATCAATTGAGCATATCAAAAATTGTGTTAATGCAGCTCTTGGTTATCTAGTATCTAATTATCAAAGACAATATGAACAACTTTATTAAATTGGTACCTATTTTGGATCTCTTAATATTATCGAATAAATGCATCTTATTGAAAAAGTTATACATTTTTGTCAATCTACATTGAAGCATATAGTTAATGCCTACACCCCTAAATTTTCTTATTTTTCTTAGCAAGGATGCAGAAAAAAGAAAGAAGGTTTAATTCTTCAAATTTTTAAGATATATCGAGATAATCTAATGATATCGACATAAGATAATCTTCATGATATATAGAAGGAATGAAGTTTACTCCTAGATTAATGAAATGTATATCTACCAGCAGGTATACTAGGGGCATACCAAATGCTTTTTGGAGCTATAGCTCAAAATGATAAGTAACAAGATGATAACACAAATTAAGATGATAATAACTCAAGTTTTTGAAAAAGAAAGAAAAGTTACAAATGTTTTGAAGTACCAATAATTTTGAAATCCGGTTTTGTTGCACCTCTACTGCACTTATCATCGTTGTCTGAACTACAGGAAGTTTCAGACTCTTCTTACAGTCAGAAAACAAAGGCAAATTTGTTTGCACAAGTTAAGCTAGCTTTCGAGTTTTTTTGATACTGCCGATAATTCTAATATAAAATCATTCCTGGCTCTTGAACATTAGATCCTTAAACGTGTTCATGCTTCATCTTATTGCAGTATGCTCCAATAAGTTCCAGGGGAGCTTATATAGGGGCAGGTTCCAAAACAACTGATACCGAAATTAATCGTGTAGCAGCATGAACGGATCTGAGACCAAGTGTTTAGTTTATAAGAGGTAGATTTTTTAAATGATGCAAACATCAATGCAGAAATCAAAAAAGCGTATCAAAAATTGAGTGAACGCAGCTCTTGGTTATCTAGTAGCTAATTATGAAAGACAATATGAACAAATAAATTAAATTGGTACCGATTTTGAATCTCTTAATATTATCGAATAAATGCATCCCATTGAAAAGAGTATACATTTTTGTCAATCTGAATTGAAGCAGATGGTTAATGCCTGCTCCCCTAAAGTGTTTCTTCTCTCTTTTTCTGTATCGCTGCTAAAAAATATAAGGTTTAATTCTTCAAATTTTTTTAGAGTGATGATATATAGAAGGAATGAAGTTAAATTAATGAAATGTATATCGACCAGCAAGTTTACTAAGGGAATATCAAATGCTGATTGGAGCTATAGCTCAAAATGATACGAAACAAGATGATAACTCAAGTTTAGATGATAATAACTCAAGTTTTTGAAAAAGAAAGAAAAGTTACAAATGTTTTGAAGTACTAATAATTTTGAAATCCGTTCTTGTTGCACCTCTACTGCACTTATCATCGTTGTCTGAACTACAGGAAGTTTCAGACTCTTCATACAGTCCGAAAACAAAAGAAAAATTGTTTACACAAGTTAAGCTAGCTTTCGAGTTTTTTTGATGCTGGCGATAATCTTAATGGAAAGTCATTCCTGGCACTTGAACATTAGATCCTTAAACGTATTCATGCTTCTATTTACTACAGTATGCTACAATTAGCTCCAGGAAGCTTAAATAGGGTCAGGGATCAAAACAAATGATACCGAAGTTAATCGTGTAGCAGCATGAACGGATATGATACCAAGTGTTTAGTTTACAAGAGGTAGATTTTGTTAAATGATGCAACACATCAATGCAGAAATCAAATGAGCGTATCAAAAATTGAGTTAACGCAGCTCTTGGTTATCTAGTATCTAATTATCAAAGACAACATAAACAATTGTATCAATTTGGTACCTATTCTGGATCTCTTAATATTATCGAAAAAATGCATGTTTTTGAAAAAGTTATACATTTTTGTCAATCCGAATTGAAGCATATAGTTAATGCCTGCTCCCCTAAATTGTTTCTTATATTTCTTAGCAATGATACAGAAAAAAAAAGAAGGTTTAATGCTTCAAATTTTTAAGAGTGATGAAATATAGAAGGAGTGAAGTTTACTCCTAAATTAATGAAATGTATATCTACCAGCAGGTAGACGAAGGGCATATCAAATGCTTTTCGGAGCTTTAGCTCAAAATGACAAGTAACAAGATGATAACTAAAGTAAATTTGATACTAACTCAAGTTTTTGAAAAAGAAAAAAAGTTACAATTGTTTTGAAGTACCAATACTTTTGAAATCCGTTATTGTTGCACCTCTACTGCACTTGTCTTCGTTGTCTGAACTATAGGAAGTTTCAGACTCTTCTTCAGTCAGAAAACAAAAGCAAAATTATTTAAACAAGTTGAGCTAGCTTTCTTTTTTTTTGATACTGCCGATAATCTTAATGGAAAGTCAGACCTGGTACTTAAACATCAGATCCCTAAACGTGTTCATGCTTCTACTACTGCAGTATGTTCCAATAAGCTCCAGGGGATCTTATATAGGGACAGGGAACAAAACAACTGATACCGAAGTTAATCGTGTAGCAGCATGAACGGATCTGAGACCAAGTGTTTACTTTATAAGAGGTAGATTTTGGCAACACATCAAAGCAGAAATCAAATGAGCGTATCAAAAACTGAGTTAACGCAGCTCTTGGTTATTTAGTATCTAATTATCAAAGACAATATGAACAAATTTATTAAATTGGTACCGATTTTGGATCTCTTAATTTTATCGAATAAATGCATTCTATTGAGAAAGTTATGCATTTTTGTCAATCCAAATTGAAGCGTTTAGTTAATGCCTAACCCCCTAAAATGTTTCTTATATTTCTTAGCAACGATACAGAAAAAGAAAAGAGGTTTAATTCTTCAAATTTTTAATAGTGATGATATATAGAAGTAATGAAGTTTAGTCCTAAATTAACGAAAAATTTAACTACCAGCAGGTGTTTAAGGGCATATCAAATGCTTTTTGGAGCTCTAGCTCAAAATGATACGAAACAAGATGATAACTCAAGTTTAGATGATAACTACAGGAAGTTTCAGACTCTTCATACAGTCCGAAAACTAAAGAAAAATTGTTTACACAAGTTAAGCTAGCTTTCGAGTTTTTTTGATGCTGGCGATAATCTTAATGGAAAGTCATTCCTGGCACTTGAACATTAGATCCTTAAACGTGTTCATGCTTCTATTAATGCAGTATGCTACAATTCGCTCCAGGAAGCTTAAATAGGGTCAGGGATCAAAACAACTGATACCGAAGTTAATCGTAAAGCAGCATGAACGGATATGATACCAAGTGTTTAGTTTATAAGAGGTAGATTTTGTTAAATGATGCAACACATCAATGCAGAAATCAAATGAGCGTATCAAAAATTGAGTTAAAGCAGCTCTTGGTTATCTAGTATCTAATTATCAAAGACAATATAAACAATTGTATCAATTTGGTACCTATTCTGGATCTCTTAATATTATCGAAAAAATGCATGTTTTTGAAAAAGTTATACATTTTAGTCAATCCGAATTGAAGCATATAGTTAATGCCTGCTCCCCTAAAATGTTTCTTATATTTCTTAGCAACGATACAGAAAAAGAAAGAAGGTTTAATGCTTCAAATTTTTAAGAGTGATGAAATATAGAAGGAGTGAAATTTACTCCTAAATTAATGAAATATATATCTACCAGCAGGTAGACGAAGGGCATATCAAATGCTTTTCGGAGCTATAGCTCAAAATGACAAGTAACAAGATGATAACTAAAGTAATTTTGATACTAACTCAAGTTTTTGAAAAAGAAAAAAAGTTACAATTGTTTTGAAGTACCAATACTTTTGAAATCCGTTATTGTTGCACCTCTACTGCACTTGTCTTCGTTGTCTGAACTATAGGAAGTTTCAGACTCTTCTTCAGTCAGAAAACAAAAGCAAAATTATTTAAACAAGTTGAGCTAACTTTCTTTATTTTGATACTGCCGATAATCTTAATGGAAAGTCAGACCTGGTACCTAAACATCAGATCCCTAAACGTGTTCATGCTTCTACTACTGCAGTATGTTCCAATAAGCTCCAGGGGATCTTATATAGGGACATGGAACAAAACAACTGATACCGAAGTTAATCGTGTTGCAGCATGAACGGATCTGAGACCAAGTGTTTAGTTTATAAGAGGTAGATTTTGGCAACACATCAAAGCAGAAATCAAAGGAGCGTATCAAAAACTGAGTTAACGCAGCTCTTGGTTATTTAGTATCTAATTATCAAAGACAATATGAACAAATTTATTAAATTGGTACCGATTTTGGATCTCCTAATTTTTTCGAATAAATGCATTCT